AATCCGAACCGGTTTTCCAAATGCCGGCAAAGTCAGTACGTCAATTGAAACTTTGCCGCATGCCGGTTGTCCTTGCACTGAAAACTATTTCAAGTGCATGGACGCATCTCGGATGGCCTTTCTCGCCAACATATGCACACGACAACATGCGATAAAATAGTAAAACAACTGATGAGAGATGCACGCAATGCAACGGTAAAAATATCTCAAGGTAACCAATTAGGCAGTGCAGTGCGTAAAAAATCCCCATATGAAAGTAAATTGTAACTACGTTGAGAATTAAGCCAAAAGCGAAATGAAGTCGATATATGAAAATACTTAATAAGGCAGGCAGTTAATGAAATTCCGTTATAATCTTGATATGGAGTTTTGATTGGGAGCAGTTTCAACAATATGTCCGCTAGGAAATTTTAAGAAAAACGAATTAATTTAGCAATGTTATTATGGCTTTTTAACATTTAATTTTTAATATTGTTATTAATAAACATAATCGTGGTACAAAGCTGAATAAGAATATTAAAAATAAAAATTAATTTAGTTGTTCGCCTCAAAGAGCGGGCCGAGCTCAAAAAGGCGAAACTTCAACCATTCACTTCATATACGCGCTGACCCCATCCCCCGCAAGACCTAACAAAACAGATTTGCATGGTGACTTCGATGCCAAAGTAATCAATGAGGGGATCTCTAGTCCGCTAATGGACTGAAACCGATTTACTTATCAACCCCTGAAAAGCTTGTTAGGAGTTGTACTCTTACTGGCTTTTCCAAACGAACACAACTACTGCCCGAAGTGCGTGAGTGCGAATAGTTTTCCTAGATAGAAAGACGACATACGAAAACTTCCAAGACCGAAGTAACACTTAAAAATACGCACACCAAAAAGGATATGAAATTCCTGCAAAGATTTTCCTGGACCTTCTTAGCGCCAATTGAGACCAGACAGTTGAAAAATAGATCAAATAACATTCAACATCATGGAAAGCACCCGTATCTGTGTACAGGAAAAGTGCCGCCGATGGTGACGATGAAAAAACTATGTCTGCATGCTCGGTGAGTCTGGGTTCAGACACGGAAACTTTTGTTGCGGCAACTTGAAGTTTGTCGAAGAGAGGGCGACGAGGAAAGGGAAAGAGCACCGAGTTGCTCATGCTCGGGCAACACGCATAGAAAACTCACCGAATTGGAAGAAAAAGCACCGATTGGAAGCAAAGGACCACACTTAACGTAACTACCCCGATTTATTTCTGGTCAAGGACCAGCACTTCTGCTAAGCAAAATTTCTTTAGAAATTTACGACGTGGTCAAGGATACATTCACTTTGGCAGTGCTGGACAGATATGATTTGAACGTTACATCTCCCTGGATGACTAAACGTCAATCCTTATGATGAGTTCAGGGTCTAAAACGTCGTACTTGGAAGGTTGGACATCAACTGCTGGATGAAGCCAAGTGCACCTTAGCACAGCTCAGATCCTCGTGGTGGCACAGGCTCAACAGCTAGCTTGCTAACCTTGACTGAACTCAGATGCGGCAAAAACTTGTCTAGCTTGCGGTCAAGGCCCTCAAAACACCCTGTCGACCATTTTCTCGGCCTCCGACTTGCCGAGCCAGAAGCGAAAATGGGACAAACTTAGCATTTTAACAGAGAAAATGTAAACTCGGGTTACACCATCCACAGTTTTTTTTTTCTTTGCGTAAAACACCTTTCCGCGTTGACGGCCTTGGGTCTCGCTTAGAAAAAATAACCCCCCTCAGTCCAACTCTGGTTACACTGACAACAATAATTTTGCGCAGAACGCCTGCTCAGCTGCTCTGCATACAAGTAAAATATAAATTAATTTAAGTAACACATACATAAAAAAACCAAAATCATAAGTATTTCAATTGCATCATCCGTGTCTTTCCTTTCCATGTTTAAGCTTTGAGTACAAAATCATTTATGAGCCGCTCGTTGTCTTTAGCAAACGACAGCGAGCATGATGGCGCACATGTGCGCGCAGATGTTCGTCGTGTGTAGCCAGTTTACCACATTGAGAAGTTAGCTTACTGCTCGTGAACGAAAGACACAAGATCACGCGGGAATCTCGACGCCATCTTTGTTGTAAGAAGTAAACAACGAAGAGAACGGAGAAACCCGCGAAATTTTTGAACGCATGAATAATCATTTTTATTATGCGAATTCTTCTATAAATCATGCCGTTGTGTTAAATTATTCTTTACCTTATTTGTACACACGTCGTCTCAGGCGAAAATGAAGAAAATTGCTGTAAAAAGCCACCAACAAATTGTAAACAATGAAGAAATGTAAACAAACGGCTATTGTCAAAACCGTTAAACTTTTTTCCTAAATTCGATCCTGCCCGCGTGATCTTGTATTTTTGGTTCATGCTTACTGCCAATATACACGCCCAGATATAGAAGTATTACATATATCGTCGCCTGGGTAAAAAGTTGTCGTAAGCGCCATTTTGACGATTTTTAGTTCTAAATGCAGATATACATATATTTTGAAATAAGGTCCTTCGACTGGTGTTATCAGTTTTTAGATATCTCCTTTAGTTTCCGGGATATTGACTACAACTTTTTCGATAATTTTGTAAAAGTTTAGGTGGTGATGTAGTCATTCTAAACTAATCAATATCTTAAAAATGGCGTTCTCCATTTTTGCATATCTCCTTTAGTGTCCGAGATATTGAGTAAAAAGTGTCGTTAATTTGGTAGAAATTTTGATCATATTTTGTCGTATTTCATACAGAGTGGCTACCAAATTGTGGACAAATGACGCTTCCCACTAGAACCTGAAGGGAGATCTCCCTATGTGAGGAATAAAAGAGTACTCCCCTTAACCTGATTTCTGAGCAATAAGGGAGATTTGTCGGTTTTGTACTCCTTTATTACTCGTTTAGGAATCAAATAGGAGATCTCCTACGCGCGCGACGAAATAATACTCCCGAGACATGATTTGGGAGCAATAAACGAGATTTGTCGGTTTTGTCCTCCTGTATTGCTCGCTTAGGAGCGTAATGAGAGATATCCTAAGCGAGCAATTAAAGAATGCTCCCTGATGCATGATTTGGGAGCAATAAGCGAGATTTGTCGGTTTTGTACTCCGTTATTACTCGTTTAGGATTAAAAAGTGATGTCTCCTAAGCGAGAAATCCAAGAGTCTTCTTTTTGATTGATAGGAGAGCAATACGCACCTCGTTCAAAAGAAATTTTGTGTTTTCGAAAAAATTTATCATAGAAAAAAAAACAACAGAATATATTTCTTATAGGCGCATAAGGAGGACACAATAATCTAATTTGGATAGCACACAGATTTTAATAAAAGTCCGTTGGTATGTACCTCAACTTTTGTTTAAATATTTTAAGCATTGTATTACTTACAAATATACCGTTAAATACCTTTCAGATTGCGCAAATTAGTGTTTGCATTTAAGTGTGACCCCCGGGTTTAAACATCGCATGGGTGACAAAGATGTCAGATAAGAAAAGTCACTTTCACAATTTCCCCGCTTGGTGGATTCCT